AAAAAACAAACAAACAAACAAACAAAAACAAAAACGAAAAAAAACAAAAGCAACAACAACAACAACATAAAAAAAAAAGTAAAAAGTGATCGGGGTTCAAGTGTTCTGGCTGCTTCGCTGCTGTATGTTATTTCTTTTTCTCAAAACAACACGAAAATATGAAAACCAAATCGTTTATATCAGATTTCTCATCACAACGACAGTGGGTATAGTCAAACAGTTAATGTCCTACTGCGAAAACTCACCAGTCCATCTTGGTAAATATGAAGTCATCAACAAGCAAAGTATTAAAGACGAAAATAAAGCGTAGAACAGTGGGAAGACCTAGCAAAAATTCTGCGCGGTAGGCCAAGAGACTTTATGACAAAATCCTCTCGAAAGTATGAGCACGGCTTTGAGTGAACCTCTTAAACACATGATCTTGTGATATCATTACTGCCATTATACTTGTCCGAGAAATAAGATCCCGACTCGTGCGCCATCAACTTGAGTGTCAAAAAGCAATGTTAACTGAACAATATGCATATTGGGAATACTTGAATCTTATTTATGGCTTCGAAAAAAATGAAAAAAATTGATTTTCTGTTGTTTTTCGTTTCAAATGAGACGAAAGTAGAATATATACGTGTCCTTTTCGGCGGGAATGCGCTGAAAGTATATAAAACCGCTTGCTATCAATCGATCCATTGAGCATCGTTTTATTTCATTTCATTGGGATACGTTAAAACGTTCAGTGCGATTGATGTAGTTACCTACCACTGCTATGAATGGAATCAGGGATCGACCAGTGTTCTAGCCTTGATCTGATAGGATCATTGGTTTAATTGATGGGTTAAGAGGTCTTGATGGTATCAAAGCATGATCTGATGGCATCAGTAGGATCAGTAGTCTTGATGGGATCAGTGTTCTAATTGATGGGATCAGTGGTTTAATTGATGGGATCAGTGGTTTAATTGATGGGATCAGTGGTTTAATTGATGGGATTAGTGGTTTAATTGATGGGATCAGTGGTTTAATTGATGGGATCAGTGGTTTAATTGATGGGATCAGTGATTTAATTGATGAGATCAAAGATTTAATTGATGGGATCAGTGGTTTAATTAATGGGATCAGTGTTCTAATTGATGAGATCAGTGGTTTATTTGATGGGATCAGTGGTTTATTTGATGGGATCAGTGGTTTATTTAATGGGATCAGTGGTTTATTTGATGGGATCAGTGGTCTCGATAAGATAAGGGATTAGTAGTCTTGATTGGATGAGTGATCTCAATGAGATCAGGGAACAGTGGTCTTGATGGGATCAAACATGAGTTTAGTAGGCATCAATGCTTTCGTAATCTATATACCGTACACAGACGTATGCAGGAAGTATATTGTCATTGGATATATGCGACTTTCATGTATCTTAGCACTTCTCTCAGTTAACGAAATTTCATAGTAATTTTTCAAGTTGTGTTCCTTAAAAGTTTAAATTTGGAAAACTTCAATGATTGGAAAATAATTACTTAGGAAATATACCACTTAAAAGCCTCAATTCACACATAGTAATGCCATAAAATCTAGTCTGGAATTACTTGCTTTGTGCAGTATAGAATCAATATCGACCTCTTCACCTTGGACGTCGGATTTCCCGTTTCAGGCCGCTTGTCATTTCCTAGATTTTTATTTCCTTGTTTAACAGTTGCACATGAGAAGACACATGAATATGAATACAACTCAAACAAAGAATCTTATTCTCAAGGGAATGAAACGTGGTCTGAAATGGGAAAACATCACGTCCAATGTAGAGCTCTATTACAGGAATCTAGATTAAACTTGACTCCAAGGAGCTTGATTCCAGGCTTCCTTTCTGCAGGAAAAGCACTTAGTATAGCTTAGACCAACGTTGTTATACTGAGGAGCTATTGAAAAGAGCCAAGAGTTCTAATGGAATGTCCACTTAACCATTTGTCATCCAGGTTTTGTCAAAGGAAATACGAGTGTCTTTTCTACCTTTACATTTCATTCAGTGTTTTATCACATAATCTACTTATTGTTATACACCTGCAACGGAGCATTCTGCCTTGCTAATCCTTTGTTTAAGAATCTGTCGACCAATTGCTTACTATCAATCACGTGACTTTTTGCAGTTGACTGGGGGGAAAACAAGCGGTTGACTGGGGGGCAACTAGCGGATGCTAAGTCAAAACATATCAAAATAAGTCCTCAAGCTATTGTATTTGACTATTTTCACGACATCAAACCAGAAAACAAGAGATCAAAACAAAGTCCAGGATTCTACAAGCCATCAAAAAAGAGCTATTACCGGAAGTGACGTCTATTGAGAGCAACTTATTTATGGATAATGGACAACTTAGAGTGTAATTAAGAAAACACTTTTGTGAATCAATGGCATCTTCCTTAGGCCTCTCTTAGCAGTTGAGATCAAAATATCGAGACTCTTAATTTTCTGCGTTATTCCACCCAAACAAATGAAGTTTATTCAGTGAAGTATCTAAGCATTTCAGTTTATGAAAACTGGATCATATGTGGATTAAGTTTGTTTGATGTGTTGTTTTCTCCCTTGCCACGAGGGTTTTCTCCAGGTTCTCCGGTTCTCCCCCTCCGTATTGAGTGTTACATTGAATGTTGTCAAAAATAGAATGTAGAACCTCACAGAAGAGCCACGTACGGGGAGTGATGGCTGTAATTTTATTTTGAAGAATAGCGTGCACATAAACAATAAAAAAAGCTTAAAAGATCCCGTTGAATAAACCAAAAAAAATTCGCTTTTCATAGAGTGCAAACAATATAACCGTGAAACTTTAGTAATACTAAATAGCACAATTTCATGCAAATTCCCTTGTTTTCTATTGTTTAATTAGCACTATTTTGTACTATTTAGTAATTAGTGTTTCACGGATTAATTGATTGCTCTCTAGTACAAACAAACTAGTGCTGGGATTACCCAAAAAATGATGAGCTAAACGCTGCTAAATATCGAACATAAAATTATTGCGGTATTATTGGAAGGCAACTTTATCTTGCCGCTAAATCGTGGTTCGAAATCAGTGAGTCTCTTCAGAAAAACATGTTCAGAAAAGCTAGCTATTGCTTTTTTGTTGTGAAATGTGATCGTCTCGGGAAACATCGAGACTCTCGGGAAAACAAAACACGTTTTCTCACTGGACTCTGGAGATGACTTCCGCTCAGGTTGTTGAAACGTTAATCACCACCATCAACAGTCTTTCTCAAGACTACACTCACCCGGACGATCACACTTCACACCAAACTTCAACACCTGGGTTAAAACCATTTACTCTTACCGCTTTTTATATTTTTTGATATTGAACCAAAACTCTGAACAAGGGATATTTGCTAACCAGTGAGGAAAATTGTAAGGAAAGTAATGCTGCAAATTCTAGTTTCCCGCCAATTGTATGATGCAACAAGTACACGGCGCGAAGTAGAATAATAGCGGGTAGTATATCAGCCATGATTTTATCGTTTTCCATTGTGACTATTTGGCTAATAACGCATCAGGAACAAGTAATTTGTGTTTTAAATTATGTAAAATCACTCTTTTCAAAACAGTGACAAACACGCAGTTAACTGAACTCGGATTCCTTTGAACTTCAATCAAAATAAAGAAACAATTTCCTTCTATTTCATAAATATATCAATAACACCAATGTTCCCATACGACAAAATAACCAAATAACTAGAATCTCATCATATAACTTTAAACACATTGACTTTTGCTCGAAAACCGGCTAGTGTTGGTGCCATCGAAGGGTTAACTTTGATATGCTGGAAACAGGTGCAAAAAACATAGGCAAATCTGAATGTCACCCAATATCGTTATATTCTTACTAAAAACCTTTTAAGATTTCAATTTGTGATTGGCTTGCACGAGGGGATTTATGATAAGAAAACGAAAAATGCTGTTGCCCACGTACACAGGAAACCCATGCTCCACATATCTGTAACACAGGAAACCCACCTCTTGCTGGGTCTTGGAAATAATTCAGTCTGTAAAGATCAAAGATGTAATTTTTTTCGTTTTAAAAGGTGATAAACTACTGACACAATGAGGAAGTGTTACACGAAGTCATTTTGCTTTAAATGTATAAATATTTTTCCCCTAGCAGAAGCTAAATAATATAATACAAAGCTGCTTTTAATTTCAATATGATACGCCCCACATTTTGAAAGTCGAGAAAATGTTGGATAAAAATCATTAATATAATGAATAACAATCCTTCATAAACTTCCTTAGTATACTCTTTTCAAAAAGAAAAAGAAAAAAAAGCTTAATTTTTATCTTCATTCATATATTTCTTTTGGTTTTATTATTATTCTTAGTATTTTTCCGGAATAAGTGATCTGCACGATCAGCACTTTTGAAAAAAATACAATTAGAAGCTTTGTTATTTTGTTACATGTTTCAGCGTTCAGAAAGTGGTGAAGTGAAGCTGAAGGAGGTGCTTGCTGCATGTGATTGGAGTCCCCCCTGATTTGATGACCCCCTCCCAGGGGTAATAAGAATACAGCCAGTCTGTACTCACGCCCGCGCGGATGAACGGGACGTTCAGCGTCATGGCGGAAGAAGATGGAAAGTTGGTTGTAAAAAGACTGAAAAAGGGCGAGGAAAGCAAGAGTATGAAACAAGTTGAGTTGTCTGATGAAGAATTAGCGAATCTCCCGGTTAAGGAATTGAACAATGTTCTCCGTGGTATGCCAGAAGATGATGTGTACAAGCTCAAACAACGGAGACGGACACTAAAAAATCGTGGCTACGCTCAGAATAGCAGAACAAAACGCGTACGGCAAAGAGAGGATCTAGAGGGTGAAAGACAACAACTGAAGAGTGAATTAGACTCAATTTGCAAAGAGAATGAAGACCTGAAACGAGAGAGAGACGAGGCAAGGAGAAAGTACGATTCGTTGCAAAAACTTTTGACCAACAGAACAAAACAAATCGCACTACAGACTCAAACTGGAGAGTTGGATGACCAGATTGACGTTGTTGGAGTAGAAGATGGGGATGGCTCTGCAAAAACTATGCAAACAAGACATCGACATTTCTCAGACAAATTAGAGTCCCCAGACCGAGAACAAGATGATCAAGATCGCAGTGAAGAAGGAAGCGATCAATCGCGATGATTCAAGAATCTACAAGGTACGACTGGTTTGTTTACAATCGTATGGAACGCGTGGTCACATGTCGCGATGATGCGCCTGTAATTTTGGGCCTTTCCAGTGTTGTTGTGTCCATTAATTTAGCGTAAGAATTTAGAAGGGATATTGCAGAGGACTAAAGGGAAAAATATTAGTATTTTAGTAGTGAAAATATCTTAGTTTATCTTCTGATTGTGATACACATTTTCACACATCCGTGGTCACTGACCTGAAAACCATTCAACTCAGGCTTGCCGATGTGTTTTACTACTAAATTACTCTGGAAAATTGTGACTTAATTCTCTACTCAATTCTTTCTTTTTGAAACATTTTCAATGTAAATATATATCTCTGTCTTTCGGAACTGGAGTAATAGGTATTTCGAAGTAAGAACTTAGGTAAAATTACGGTTCGTTCATTGAATCAATGAAAATATATTGTCCTAGCGTCTAGTCATCATTACTCGTAACTTGAAGGTAGTCAAGACGAAAATGTGACGTTTTATCTTGAAGGTAATCCAGTACGTTCCTTTGTGAATGGAATATAGTAAGTCTATATTCCAAAAGAACGCTAAAATAAAGAATGTTAAATTATAAATGTGTGGAATCTGTTTTGTTTCCTGTGTCTACTCGCACGTGGGGAACTCAACTTGTTATGCTGACTCCATACTTTCGTTTGTATAGTAGAATTCTTTGAAAATCTCTTAAAAATTAGAGGCGTGATGTTTTTCAACGAAACTTAGAGTAAACAATCTTTGTTATATGTACCAGAAGTATGTGCAGTCAATTAAATGTCAAAATTTTAATAGATTTTATTCTGGAATTATTTGCAAAGTCAGCATTGCGCTGCAGCATCAGCATTTTTTCGTTGTCGTCGAGTCGCTTGCATGATTTATCTGTTCTTTTCGATAACTAAAATATCTTCTTTTTGTCTGAAAAACTTGCTCGAAAGAATCATTGGTTAAAAGGAATGTTTCTTGAATTCTTGCATATTTCGAAGACAGTTTTTAAATGTACCGTAAAAGCGAAAAATTCTCGTGAAAAATTTGGACTTTGCCTTGAAAGTCACACTTAAACCTCGCGTCCCTGAGATCTTTGTATTCTACGTGACTCTATATATAGGTGTATTGTTTCATTTCGAATTTTTGACCGACTTACACGTACATTATTCTTTCCCTACGAATAAATTACTTTGAAAATAAATACAAATTTGCACAGTCAGCATTCCCTTACGTTATCTTCGTTGTAAAACCAAGATTAATTCATTTATGCTATGCCAAGCCGAATGAATGGTTCGATAAACACATATCCGTTGTTTTTCAAGTTTCAAGGGCTTTCACTACCGACGCTAACCTCGATCAATTCCAGGGTGGGGATCCCATATCCTATTTTGACGTCACGCTTATAATCTCGCTTTATGAGTTACAATGCATCTTTAAAACTCACATAAAACTTAAAAACCGTAAAATAAGAGTAAATAACATTGAAGTAATCAATAAAAAATCCAGCTTCTTTAGATGACCACAAGTAAAATTTCCACATTGAATTTTCCTTTTTTTTGGGAAAAATATTATCAAGTGAAAAAAGAAATTTTTAAATGACACAGGCACAAAATTAGCACTGACAGCTGGCTATTTTTTCGTATGATTTTTCGAAAATGCTTCATTAAAATATCAGGCTTTAAATACCAAGATTTCCTAGGACTAATGGCTAAAATTTTAGCACTAGTCAGACTTTGAAAATCAAGTAATTGTTTAAACAAATAAACCAGCAAATGCCTAGTGTGTATTTTATACCATTGTGTAGTTCCAGAAATAATCCATGCCCCCCCCCCCCCAGCAGATTTTTTTAAAATACCCCACCCCTGGAAATTTCAATTTTCATCCATACGAACTCTGTAATTTTGTCCTTTCTTTGAGCCCCCTTAACCCTTGGGAATGTTTTTAAAGACCCCAACCCTGGAAATTCCAATTTTCATCCATACAAACTCTGTAATTTTGTTATTTGTTGGAGCCCCCTACCCTTCAGAAATTTCAAATTCCTCTGTTGGGGGAGGGGGGGTATGGTTAATTTCTGGAACTACACATTCTGTATACAGGGTAATCCTGTTCAGCTGAAGCTGGTTTAAAGACTGGTAAAAAATGTACATCATTATAGCTAGGGATTATGGACTGACATCGGTAACACAAACGGACACCTACTTTATATTGAAATCCAATGCAAACAATCCACAGAGGACTACAAAATAAACATATTTTTATCTTGCAAACATTAATTTAGACTCAAATGTTATATATATATTTCCTATTTTCTTCTATTGTTTCCATGTCCTTTTAGTGGGTGTTTAAAACTTACAGCAATTTATTTGGATCTTGAGTACAACTTCATTGCTATTTTAACGTTACACTCAGTCATTTTATTCTCCCTGTCTGATGGTAGAGAATATGGAGGATATATAGAACACCACCACCTATTTATGCCACAGAAATTGTGAATATTTTCTGGAACTACACAATTTATGATTAGCGTGCACGCACTAAAACTGTGAACATTAAATAGTACTAATTAGTACTATTTCATACAGAATCCTTTGTTTTCTATTGTTTGATTATCACTATTTAGTGCAAAAAATTAGTATTTGTTTCACGGATTTAGTGTGAGCACTCTACATCTGGGTCCAGGTTAACGCTAATGACTTTAACAAATTACAAGTTTGATTGACGTCTTTTTGACAGTAAACAGAAAGATAACTATCATATCAATACTAAAAATAAGAAGGAATACTTATCGACAAACTGTTGTGGGATAATAACCTTTTCAGGCTTCTAAGAAATAAATTTAGGTCCCTCTTTTTCATAACAATAGAACAGTCCCCTCTCGGTCCCTCTGCCATATAGAATAAAATAATTATGATAATTACCATAGAAAAGAGATGAACGGCGAGTCACATATAAACAAACGAAGCTAATCTAAACAGAAAAGTTGTAGAGAAAAAGAGAAAGCACTTTATAACATCCGCTGAGACGACAGATACTGTGACGTTTTAAAATCAACAGTGAGAACAAGAAATCCACCGTTTGTTTCGTTTTTCATCATAATTCATTCAAGATGTTAGAGGAACCGTGACGGGAACTAGTTTGGAAGGAAAGCTCTGCACAGAAAAAGTGTAGCACCAGGACCAAGTTCAAAAAATACAAATTTCAAAATATTGCTTGGAAAAGATCAAACTCCCCAAAAACTTTCTGCAATTTGTTTATGCAAGACAGTGTTGCCATTAATGTTGCAAAATGTGTTAATGTTACACTGGAATTTCCTCTCACAATGGTAATGCAATAACCTTAAACTGCCAAGTGAAAAAAATTCTGCAGTGTGAACAAAATTGAAGTATTTCTCTCTAGAATTTCATTTATAATTTACAGGTAAAGACTTTGCATTTCGGGAAATCCGCTTCTAAAAGGATTTGGTGAAACAGTGTATTATGACTATTATACATGTATCTGCTGTTTTTATGATGGCCTTAGTTATTTGTATTAGCATAGTGCATAAAATGGGAGCAGCCCAGAATGGGAAAAAAATATGACAACAAGATCCTGAGGGCAGGGTAGAGTGGGGTACCTGGGTGGGGCACTTCACCTGAGCTTCTAAGACTCTAAAAGCAGAGTGAAAATAAGTTGCTAAGATTTGAAAGACACTCACATAGATCTACTAATGTACTGTGAAAACCATTTCCAAGAATCTTGGGTAATATTGCACAATTTTTCCATTTTGTCAGGAAGGAATCAGGACAAAAAAAAAAGAAGGTATTTTACGACTAGGCTACCCATCCCAAAAAGGGCGATGTTGGCAAATGTTACCACAATGAATTGTTTTGGCTTGGGAGCAATAACTTTCATTGTTCGAATGAGGGTCGTAAGTTAGTTAAGTCACTGGGTTAATATGTCACTCTCTTTAAATAAAGTTTATCGCATTGTATTGTTTTGTAATGAGATCCATATTACTGTTAAGTAACATTTCTAAATACTACCAGAAGAAAACAGGAGCAGGTGTAGCTCAGTTGGTTAGTGCGTGGCCTTCAGAGCTAGAGGTCCATAGTTTGATCCTCAGGAACTCTGCATCTGTTTCTGCTCTCTGTTCTGTGTAACTTTAATTAGCTTTAAATACCCGTAAAAAGGAGCACTGATAGTAAGAGGGGGTAGAGGGCGCACCTTTGAGCGTGTTAAGCATGAGCCCTTGGCTCAGGAGATTTGGGCCACCACTCCCCATGTTATCGAAGTGAAATAAATTACCTTTACATTTTTAAGAGTGGTAGCCATGCTGATTGATAGAACAAAACGATTATGACATAAAAGACTTCTGCTATTAACTCCCAAGAGTATTGATAGTGCAAAGACATGATGGCTTTGTTGAATTGGTGGTACATGTATTAACAATGGAAGCTTATTAAGGGCCTAACATTTTCCATTTAGACCCCCGTCATCCATTCTCTTGAGTATTGTTTTTTTGTAGGTACTGTTAGCACCTCCAAAATAATGATTGATGATGTTTTTGAATTTTGGTTAACTCACGTGACCATTTGGAGAGCTCCAACTGGTCACATGGAGAACATGTGTAATATAGTTATTCAATGTTATAAAATGTGTCCATCATTAATTCACATCATGCCTTTACAGTGCAAGTACTGTAACCAGGGCCACTTCGACAAGAGAACCAATTAAAATCTAGAATGTAAACAATACATTCCAGCTTTGTGTTGTCCAACCAATCAGAAACCTAGACTGCATGAGAATGGTAATTTGACCCTGATGCAACGTGTAAACAACTAGACAGCTGTTGTCATTTTCTCGTGAGGATAAAAAGATATCTTTGGTGGCTATTGTTTTCTGCTTGTTTTTGATTGGCTCCGCTACCTAAAGTTCGGATGTATTGTATTGTATTATGCGCAGTTGATCATATTAACATGTTAAGTTGTGCAATACAAATAATAAACTATTATTATTATTCATCCTACAATTTATTTGGCTCTTGATGTCTAGCTGACCCTGGTTATAGTAGTAGCACTGTAAATGATAGCATATCAAACGCAGGATACCAGCTGTTATCCAAAAACCAGCATCCATGCTGTGCACTACATAATTTGTAGTAAACAATCATTTTTTAATTAATGGTTCATCATATTATACAATTAGACAACTATTTAATATGTCGTTACAATAATATGTTAATGTTACTGTAAAGGAAAGTAACATTTTTATTCCACAAATGAAAAGCAAACTTTCTAAGATTTCATTTAGAAAAACACGGTTCAAATTAAGATGTGAGTTGAAGAAAAGGATGAAAAAAAAGAAATAATAACCAAAAGATACTACAAGGGTCTGGCTTCCCAAGGCTTGTTCTGTACAACTACTTCTCTTCACACCATTCATTCTCTTTCCGCACCTGGGTGTGAAAAACAGAGTGGGAAAAAGAAAAAGAAAAGAAAAAAAAGAAAAAAAAAGATAAATTTTTAAGGTTATTAAATGTCATTGGCTAGATTTTGTTAAGGACACTGAACAGTTACAGTCAAACTAAGTCCAATTTCATGCTGGAATGAACTCATTTCTAATTAACTGTTACATTCCAGACGTATTTTAGGTGTTCGTGAATGGATTTCTTAGTTTGACTGTAGATATTCTAAGCCAATCAGGTCTAAGTTTGTTTTATTTTCATTACCCCCATGGATATAGAACTTTCCTGAATGGAGGTTTTGCACCATTGTGTAGTTCCAGAAATTATCCATACCCACCTTAGAGGAATTTTGAATTTCTGAAGGGTAGGGGGTCAGAAAAAGCAAAAAATTACAGAGTTTGTATGGAAGAAAATTAGAATTTACGGGGGTAGGACTGGGTATTTAAAAAATCCTCTGTAGGGGTACTAGGGATAATTTCTGGAACTACACATTACGCACCCATCCCATAATAATACAGCTTGGGCTGCCTGTGGTAAGATGGCAGAACAATAAACTCCCTTTACTCTTAGGAATTGAATTATTTGTTATGTAAAACGATTGTATTGTTGCTGCCACCTAACATGGCTGCCGTCTAATAATGGTGCAAAACTTCTATTCATTTGAATGACATGAAACACTGGTTTCAAGTTAAGGTTGGACTCATGATATATCCATACAGTACATGTGTTGTATATTAGCCAGACCAACATCAACTTGGAACATTGTTTTTGGCTATTCATGTGAATTCAGAGATCTATTACAGTTGATTTCATAAAACTTCGGCCACTTCGGTCTGAAGTTTGTTCGCAAGTTTGCAACTTCATAATCAATTTCACTATGAAGTTCCGAGGGTTGTCGGCGATCTTTCAAATTGATAATACAGTAGCTTCTAAAACTCATCAAATCTACCGTTCAAATTCAATTTTCAAAGTAAATTTTATTGCRACAAAAGGAATTTGACTCTAGGTTGTCTGGAATACAATTTTCGAAAAGTATATGGTTTAAAGAAGCAATTTCAGTAAATATTTGAATTCTAGACATAAACAAGTTACGGTTGATTGAACCAATTTCACACAAAGTTCGGGACCAACTTGGAGAACTTGGGAATAAACTTCGGAATTAAAGCGGCCGAAGTTTTGTGAAACCAACTGTAATTCTGAGCCTTGCCCAAGTAACTCCAGCTCTAGGCTGAGTTATTAAAGTCAGACTACTGCTAAAATGTAGACTATTGTCAAGAGTGAGTGGGGACGAGATTTGAAAACCAAATACTAGGTTTATAATAAATTTGTATAAGCTTAGCTTTATGTGGGTGGGGTGGGTGGGGGGATAATGATTGGCTTGGTCAATGCAATCTGGATTGCACAGGATACAACCAAAGCAAGGAAACGGATCATCAACAAAATAATTGTACTGAAAAACTAAAGCATTTAATGAAGAAAAGTCAACATTCAATGATTGATTTACCTGTTCTTCTTCTTCTGGAGTGAAGTCATTTTTGATGTTAAAGGTCTTTCTGATTTCTTCTGGTGTCTTACCTGGCAGAAACAAAATAAGTTTAAAATTAATAATAATAATAATAATAATAGTGATAATACTAATGATAATAAAAACAAGAAAAATACACGGAACTACGTGCAGGCATCAAAAAAGGGTGCAAAAGCTCATAAGTGTAAATCAGACTAACATAGTGTTCGACTTTCTCGCAGGACATCATGAACAGCTAAGGAAAGACCTAAGAACAATTACAAATACAAACAGGGAAGTGAACTTTCTTATAGAACGATGCCAGAAATGGATTTTAAGCCAGAACGTTAACATAGTCAAGACATTCTAGAAGAAGTTCCTCGTTCGCCACTTCGTCTAGCTCACTGTCCTCGCTCACACTTTCATCGGGTGTATTATAWTCTTCTCCTCAAGCAATTTCCGACTCAATAGCGACATTTGGCTGATTCAACTCCAGCTATCCAACATGTTCCACTATCTGACGTCATCACACCTCATTCATCCCAAGCCATCAAATCCGTGATATTCCACAGGGAGCCCAGCTTAAGTCATTTCGCAACTTTGAYGGACGATATCACCYCMAAAAACGCATTTCATGGAATTTTCATTTCGATTTTCAAAATCAACAAGGTTTGATGTACATTTTGAGCTATGATGTGTCTGGCACCTCAGAGTCCCTTTAGATTTTAAACTGAACATTAGATAGATAATTTAGATTTTGCGCTATATTTACTAGCATTTCGTTTGTCAGTATGTTGAATTATTTTCAGTAGTGAGCCTGGAATTTGAAGTGCTCTGTGTTAATTCTAGGTCTCATAAAGCTAATATTTCTAAGATTTACATTTGTACATTTATGCTTTAGCAAAATAGAAAATAATGGATGTTGATTGTGTAGTTCCAGAAATCATCCATACCCACTCCGCAGGGGAAATTGCAATTTCCAAAGAGTGGGGAGGTCAGAGAAAGAACAAAAATTACAGAGTTTATATGGAAGAAAATTGAAAGTTAGGGGGGGTAGGGGGGCGTCTTAAAAAAATTCCATTACAAAACTACATTATCATTTCTAGCCTTGTTATAAACCCTAAGGTCTATTTTTTTAAGAAGATCTAATATACTTATGTGATTGGTTATAAAACATGCAGTTGATGGGTAAGGTTTTTTGAGAACTATATTCAGAATAACCAAGGGTGAGCTAAGTATTAACAGTCATAGGAAATTGTGGGTGTTGTAGTAACCAGGGGTTTCATAAATAGTCAGGGATAGGAGAATGCCCCCGGGGGGGGGGGGGGACTCCCATATATGGACTATACAGGGATGATCCGCTGAATAGGGTATGGTTTCTCGAGCTTCTTG